TTGAAGAGAATGATTGGTTTATTCTGTCTTTTCTCATCCAAGTAAAGGGAAAAGCATCTATAGAAATAGAAATGNTAAAATATTAACTCTCTGCCTCTTTACACAAAAACATTTGCTGAGTTTTCCCCTAGAGTCCTGCAGTAAAGATTGGCATAAGGCCTTATCTCCTTCATAGTTCCTCCTTTATATACCAAGATGTATCTTCTGCAACAGCATGAGAGGGAGTTTTCCTTGGCGTTTTAGCAGAGGCTTTTAAGAATGAATGAAATGTCCTAGAATATCTATACCAAATTATTAGGATACCAGTTTTGTAGTTTTGTTTTCTTTAGCACTCACCCTTACTGATGTGGAGATTTGTCCGAAGAAGCCAAGCAAAATCATTTATTTGAAGAGAATGATTGGTTTATTCTGTCTTTTCTCATCCAAGTAAAGGGAAAAGCATCTATAGAAATAGAAATGAATCTCTCAGAGACACAACAGCTGGGCTTGATTTATATCTGAATAAGTCTACAAAGCAAAATACAGTCATACAATGATTAGAGCAAAGAGAGTTGCTTAGGAATCGCCCTTCCAGAGTTCACTGGGGTAAAGCTTTCTGTTTCCCATGGGCCATATATAAACTCTGTTAAGGGGGCTTGACATGGGAATCTTAAAAAGGAACTCCTAAAGAGTACCACATTAAATGGAAAAGTAATCTCAACATATAAAAGCCTGTGTACAAAACAACATAAGAAACCAGGGGCATAGTAATGTCCTAAGGTTCAGTACCATTGAAGGAGGCATCACTTGTATCAGGAAACTTATAGATGAGAGGGAGCACGTGAAAGGATTTCAATAAAACCTGCAGGCGTGCTGTGCAATAAAGTGTTAACTCAGCAGGCTTGGGGTTCTCAAACCCTACATATTCCAAAGAAAGGGATGACTCTTAACTGGCTCTTGGCAGATAACTTTCAAGCCCTTAGAATGTCCTACCTGGTAAGAGTGTCTTTATATACCTGGGGATCTGAGCCATGCCGGACAGTTTATGCTAACAATGTGACTTATGGTCAATACTATTTTGTTTTTCTGGAGCCCACGGCCACACTGTATTAATCTGAACTCTGAGTGGATCGGAGACCAAGTAGTTATGGTCAATCACATGGGTCCTCCAGGCCTACATGACTAACCCCAAATCAAAACCCTTGAACAAATTCACAGGCAAGCTTTCCTGGTTGACAACAGTTCTTATTTGTTGTCACACATCATGGCTGGGAGAACTGAGTGCTATTGGTAAAACTCCCCTGGGAGAGAACAGTCTGAAGGGTGTCTGTTTTCCCCAGACACCACCCTTTGCTCCTTTTTCCTTTGCTGATGTCAATCTGCACCTTTTCACAGCCATAAACTGTAACTGTGAGTATAACAGCATTTCTATGTTCTCTGAGTATTTCTAGTGAATCATCACACCTGAAGGTGACCTTGGGAACTCCTTAAACAAGAGCCTACAGAAGAATGAGTCTGCATTAAAACATGTACATGACTGAAAGCTTCCCTAGCCAGCAGACAATTGTATAGGACACTAACTAAATAAGACATTTTCTCCTTCTTTCCTCTCCCATGAGTTCTCACTCTTTTGTAATCATAAAGGCACCAAAAGCAGAATGGATGATAGTAGAACAGTAAAGAAACCTTTCCCGTATCAGGTTTTCAGGTATAAATAGGGTCTGAAAATGGTAAAAGGAGCAAGTTTTATATTGAATAACAGATTGAATTTTTATTTTTAGTCTGCACTGGACTTAATATGTAAGAGTGACTACAGAAGCTGTGGGATCTGCCTAAGGTTTTGTACTTGAAAGGGAAAAATAATGCAACAAAATATGGAGGGGGGGCAGTGGTGGGAAAAAAGAAATTTGCTTTCTGCTTTCATGCTACTGAGTCCAACTTCTTTTTTTTGGTCCATCAATAGGATATATTTTGGTATAAATATAATGTTATATTTATACAAAATTTATATCAATCTAATTCATTTATACACACTCATTTAAATTGAAATTATAAATATGACAAATTATAATTTCAATTTAATCCCATTATAATTTTAATTATTTAATTATAAATTCAATTTAAATGAGTGTGTATAAGTGAATTAGACTGATATAAATTTTTTTGATTCTTTAAAAAGATTTACAAAATTTGCAAACCTATATCTAGACAGACCAAGAAAAAGGAGAGAAGATCAAAACTACTAAAATCAGAAATAAAGCAGGGGCATTATTATATTGTCACTATGGCTTTTTGTGGTGGTATGATTTAGTTTCTTCCTCCTTCTCATTTACATTTTTGTCCTACCAGTGGGTTTTGTTCTTTCTTGTGTATTTGTGGTAGCAATTATAGTTTTTCAGATTCCAAATGCAGGAATTCCTTGAAGATTTCTTGTAGGGCTGGTCATATGGTCCTGAACTCCTGTAGTTTTTGTTTGTCTGTAAAATATACTATTTTTCCCTCATTTCTGAAGGATGGTCTTTCTGGGTATAGTATTCTTGGCTGGAAGTATTTTTCTTTCAGTATTTTGTGAGTGTCTGGCAGCCACAGCTCTGGTGGTAGCTGTGCTGGGCCACCTGTGTGGAAGTGGTGTTTTTTCAGTGTGCTCCTTGCCTTCTTCCAGGCCGGGTATGCTGCCCTCGGCTCCTGCCTAGGACCCTGGGCATGCTCCATTTCTTGCCTCTGAGTCCAACTTTTTAAATAAATACGTTGCACATGTATCTCACCTAGACAAGGCTTTTATGTATTCTATCCTTTTAATGTGCAGGCATCCAATATCTACATTACATTGCCTGAGGAACAAAAATCAAGTGACCCCTGTCAAAACATGGGATTCCCAATAACTTAGCATTAATAAATATCACTCATACCCAGACTGGAACAATACTTGGGAAATGAGAAAAATACAAAACTATTTACCATTCAAAGTATTTTCTGTGTTTTTTTTTTTTCCTTGAAAAATCTCTACTGTGCCCTATACTTTGAGCCTTGTATTTTCTAAGTCATGTGTTTTCTTTTACTTATTTACTTATTTAAGACTACCTGTGACACACATTCAAGAATAGTATGGTTCCAATGGGTGCTGTGACTGTAGTTCTAGGCACTTATTATGGGTGCATAGCCAAAAATTTAACAAGCATGTTTATTCTGTGCTCATTATTTCCCAAATACAATTTTAAGCTGTTTCAAGCTGTTCATCATAAGTAACAAAGTGTTAGAATTTTTCAAATATTTATTTCATTAATCTAGGGATTTTATGTCTCAGATACTTGCTACATTTGCGATTTTATGGTTACAGTCTAGTCACAAATAAATTTTTCTTTCTAAGCATACTCTTGATCTCACCGAAATTCCATTATCCTGATTATATTAGTTGGTGAAATACCAAAAAGCCGAGAAAAGTAGCCTTTCCTTGTGAGCATTCTGCTTCTCAAGTATTAAATTCTTCTTCATTTAAAAATCAAGCCACACAATTGGCAACAGTACCAAAATGAGGTATCAGAGTACCCTACATTATAGAGGGAGGTGGAAGAGAGGAGAATGAAATCAATAGGAATTGAAGACAATATTTGAAAATTAAGTACATTTGAGAGACAGTAACGCAAGCCTGAGATTTTTGGGGAGAATTTTCAGTTCTCAGCAGGAAGTAGCTCAGCCTTTAGGAATGACCAGAGAGCACCTTCAACAAGAACATAGGATAAGAATCAAAGCAGAGCCCAGAATCAGAAATGTTTTTGACTCTTTAAAAGGATTTACAAAATTTGCAAACCTATATCTAGACTGACCAAGAAAAAGGAGAGAAGATCAAAACTACTAAAATCAGAAATAAAGCAGGGGCATTATTATGTTGCTCACAATTTACTTCAAATAGACATCACCCCAGGGGTTTAGTTCTTCTTAAGTATTAATAATCAAACCTTTTTTAATCCCAATTGTCTGGCAAAGTCTGCTTGCTAGTTAAGGGTTTGCTGGAATTATGTTCTTTCAGCCTTTGTCTTTGCTGTGTGTTACTTTTTTTCTCCTTGAATTTTTTTTTTCTTGTCTACTCATTCTTTATGAACTCAAATCTTTGATATAGATGGTTGCTCATGATTTTTTTTTTTTTTGAGGAATATTTACTTGTTTCCTTGCTGAAGGATTTTTATAAAGTGAAATTTGGTATACTGCTTCTGCCATCTCCTGGAATTCCTCACATTTTCTGATATATGTTCTTGCTTTTAACTTCTAGTGACAACCAGATGAATGTTTTGAAGATTTACATTCCAAATTCTAAGTCTGCTAGTTGGGCCCCTTTTTCATGGTTGGGACACTTAAATGGCTACCTAATGCTTTTTGTTGGGCATACTAACGGGCTATGACTTGTATTAGGAAACAGCTGCTAATGACACGAGGCTTTCAAATGACTTTATTGTTGCTGTTAATATATGTATTTTTTATTAAAGTCTGAACATATTACTCAATATATTTATTCTTCTCATTTTTGGGCCCCTTCCTATCTTTGAATGAAAACATAAAATATTTATGCTTTTTTATTAACTAAATTTTTGTGATGGAAGTATATAAATATAGCTATATTTATAAAAATCCATAACAATTCTTTATGTTTGTGTGTGTGTGCATATATATATATATATATGTGTATATATATATATATGCTTTTATAAAATCAATTTAATGAAAAGTAAATGACATAAAATTAAAATGTCTGTTATATTGCCTAACATAAAATGTGTTATCCATCTAATTTTACTATTGCTATTATATAATATTACTATTTTTATTTTACAACTAGTTATGTAGTTGCTATTCTAATAGAAACACAGTGAAATCCTTTTAGCTTATTTCAGGCAGATATTTTCAATGAAGCTCAATGACCTATCACAAAACATAATGAAAGAAGTTGGGTTAAATGGAAAAGATGTACATAGAGTCCTGTTTGTTGTCTTCAACTTTGAGAGTATTACCAATCATTCCAGATATGTTTATGGGAATGTAGGTTTTCTTGTATTCATGCAACACTCCAGCTTCCTCAGGACACAGAAAGAAGCCTGTTTCAATTTGCTGCTCCATAAAATCAGCAGAAACAAATGGCTGATAGATAGAAAAATACTGGTACATTAGCAAAAATCTTTGCCACAACACTGCCTGGATTAGAATGGGCCCACTTTACCATAGTATTGCTAAAATACGTGATGAACAGAAGTAGGAATGAAATCATGAATTTCAAGGCTCTTGCATGGGCCTCTGTGCTAAGATCCTTAGGACCTGTACCCTTCATCTAGCTGTTGTGAGACCATAAGGAGAGGATTAAGAGGAGAAAGGAGGTCAGTGGTGCTACAAAGGCAATGGTGAACATTGGGTTATGGAGCATCTGAGGAGATGACAAATTGCATTTCTCACTATGATGTTCCATGTCAAATTTCTTCCACTATTTAGTTGGTTTCTGATCAGGCTCTTAGCTATCGCATCCTTCAAAAGAAGGCACAAGCACAAAGAGAGGATTGCCCCCAATACAATAATGAGAAGCACCTTGTGAATTCTGCATTTCATCCAGAGGAAAACAAGATTAGAGAAGTTGGCTATCTCAAGGAAATAGAAGACACTGAGACAGGTGGTACAAGCCATGCAGAAATAGTTGGATTCTGTCCAGAGGATATCTAAACTTATCATTAAATTCTTATTACAGAAAATATTCTCATAGTTTACATGGAAAACCACGTGTAGAATTATTAAGCACAGCAGAAATATTCTCAAAATTATCAAACAGATGAGAATAAAGTCAATCAGGTAGAACATTCCTCTTATCTAATCAATGCAGTTAAACAATACAATAAGTTCATTTCTCCAATTCCCCATTATGTATTTTATGGCAGAAATTATTATAAATACATTCTTCAATGTACTTGCCATGCCTGAGGATAAGGAATCTCTGCTTTCTTTACATCACTGATGTATAAATGAGGTGTTATAAATTCATGCCTCCAAAGCTTTAATATTCAGTAAGTTTCTCTTTCTTGTCAATGGCCACTGGCAAAGAAAGTAATGCCTCCAGTGTGCCCCGAGACAAAGTAATCTTTGGGAAAACCATCTTTATTTCTCTCAAAATCTCAACTAGTGATTTTCAAGATATGTATTTCATTACCTGCTGCTGGAACACTGCATATAATTTGTATGTAAAGCTATTCATTAGAATTTTAATCCTGGTTTGTTAAAATGCAAAATAGAGATAAACATTTGAATGCCTTTTACTTCTTCTTTTCCTTAAGATTTAAACTTTTTTGATTCATTCACCTTAGTTATAAGCTAGAAATATTAAACCCATTTAGAAAATATGGTGTCTTGGGGCCGGCCCGGTGGCGCACTGGATAGTGCGCCGCTTGGGAAGCGCGGCGGCGCTCCCGCCCGAGGGTTCGGATCCCACATATAGACCGGTTCCCGCTCACTGGCTGAGCGAGGCGCAGGAGCGACACTGAGGGTTGCGGTCCCGTTGCCGGTCCTGGTCCGGTGTGGGGGCGACACTGACGGTTGCGATCCGTTGCCGGACACGGAAAAAGACAAAAAAAAAAAAAGAAAGAAAGAAAATATGGTGTCTTAGTGAATCCTCTGAGAAGCAAGGAAGTCACTGGGAGAAATGCTTGTGTGGGAAAGCAAGAAGGGAGCAGACAATGTGGGAAGAGCTGTTATATTGATATGTAGGTCTGACCCCTGTGCAGGAAAGAAGGAGGGAAAGAAGGAAGGTGTTAAGAGCAGAGCAGTACTGAGAAAATTTCAAGATGTCCAGTGGGGAGTTCTCAAGCCCAAGATGCACATCAGAGGAATCCTGACCCTCCCAGGATCAGTCGGCTGTTGAATCTCTGCCCTGCTCAGTCACCAGAAGGGAGCAGCTCATAGAAGTGAATGGGCTGATGGAATTAAAATCATAGGAACTGTGACTGTCAGCTATCGGAGAAATATAATTATTATAACTGTGTTAGTTAATTAGCTTTATACAAAGGAAGAATAAATGCATATCTCTATGACAGTAGGTAGTTTTGCAACTTGGAGCCAGGTGCCTGCTGAAGTTGGGCTCCTGCTCTCCCACAGAAACTGAGAGATACAGATGCTTATTTTCAACAAGAAAAATTAAGCTTCTCACTTCTAATTTGTATATGCCTTTACATGGTCAATTATGCTGCATCCAGTCAGACATCTCAGAGGTGCATTTTCCTAATTTCTGCACACAACAATTAACTCAAATTATGGTCAAAGTTTATCTTCATTGCTCACCTTACCAATACATATTATGTATAAAGTACTCAAAGGTTAAGTAAACACAGAAAATCTGCTGTCTAATGCTATACCAGAATCTCTTGTTGTCTGGAGCAGTATTGAGATATGGGGTCTGCAAACCTCTTCTTGGAGCTGGGTGAGCTTGTGGCTGCTTCAAGCATACAGTGGAAATGACATTATATGACTCCTAAGGCTGTCATAAAGATCCATGGAGTTTTTGCCTTGGTCACTGGAATGTTTCCTCTCACACTTCTGAGCCACTCTGTAGGAAGTCTGACAAATCTGGGATCATCAGCAGGCTGTGAGAGAACCCAAGCGACATGAAGAGGCCCCCTGTAGGCAATCTGGTCAACCATTCCAACTGAGCCCAGACTTTGAATCATCGCAACCCAGTGACAGATACGTGAGTAAAGAGTCTGCTTGTTGATTCCAGCCTTTCATTTGAATAGCAGTCAGCTGAGTATTAGAAGGTGAAGCCCCAGATATTTTGGAACAAAGACAAGCCATCTCACTGTGCCCTGTCTGAACTCCTGACCCACAGAATTTGGGAGCATAATAAAATACTTACTATTTTGTACCACTGTATTCACAACTGATATTTTTTTTTTCTTTTTTGTTATTGTAGTAAAACATATACAACATAAGAATTGCCATTTTAAGCATTTTTAAACATACAATTGTGTGGAATTAATTACATTCACAATGCTGTGCAACCACTACCTCTACTTCCAAAATTTTTCTGTCATACGGAGCATAAGTTCTGTACCCATTAAGAAACACTTTTGCATTATTCTCCCCCTCCCATCTCTCATAACCTCTATTATTCTTCTCTCTGTAATTTTTTAAAATTTATTTTTCTTGGGCCGGCCTGGTGGCGCACTCAGTAGATTGCGGCACTTGGGAGCACGGCGGCACTCCCACCGAGAGTTCGGATCCCATATAGAGACCAGTCCGCTCACTGGTTGAGTGCGGTGCGGGCGCGACACCGATGGTTGTGATCCCGTTGCCGGTTGCGGTACGGGCACGACACTGAGGGTTGCGATCCCATTACCGGTCATGAAAAAAGACAAAAAGGAAAAAAAAAATTATTTTTCTTAAATGCCCATGATAATTGTGTATGTTTATGGAATACAATATGATATTCCTGTACATTTATACAGAGTGCCATGATCATATCAGAATAGTCAGCATATCCATCACCTCAATCATTTGTCACCTCTTTGCTTTGGGAAAATTCAACATCCTCTCAGTCAGTTACTAGAAATTACAGAGTAATTTGTTGTTGATTGTGCTCCCCCAATATAACTCAAGAACACTGTATCTTATACCTCCTACCATTTTACACTTTTGCATCCATTGACCACCTTTGCCATCCTCCCTTCCCCCTACACTTAACAGTCTCTGGGAACCACTACTCTACACTCTACTTCAATGAGATTACCTTTTTGAGATGCCATTTATGAGTAAGTGCCATCTTTTAGAATTTTTCTGTCCACTTTCTTCTCTAAATACTTTGCTGACAGTAACATGCTTCCTCAACAGAAGCAACCAGGAATCTTCATTTACATACAATCTACACACACTGAACATGGCAAACTGAAATATCAAACGTGATGCAGAAAAAGGAGAAAATTGCACCTCGAGATTTCTATAACTCCATGTGGGGAGAGACACAGTTATTATCCTATGCCCTGTCTCTAAAATAGCGCTGATGAGTGTCAATCTCCATCACCGACACTGCCTCCTAGGCTGCCATCATCCGCATTCTCCTCTGATTACTGTGACATCTTCACAGTGGCATGTCCATGTATCAGTCTTCTCATCCTCTGGTTCATCCTTTACAACACTGTCTGACAGATACTTCCAAAAATGCAAACTTCCCCTTGTGATTCCTCTGGTCAAAGTTCTTTACTGGGTTCTGATTGTATGTTAAATAAAGTCAACCCATAGGTATGGAATAAGACCCGACTGGTCTTCCCATGGCATGAGCACACTGAAGCCCCATCTCTCCTCTCATCCCCTCCCCTCTCTCCACCCTCCCCATCTGTAGTGTGATCTCCTGAGCCCCAAGCACAGTCACAGCGCCTGCTTCCCTTTTTTTACCTTCACTTGAGCTCTGAACTGAGCTCAGGCCCAGCGAGGCAGCTGAGAGCAGGACCAGCAGCATCTTGAAGGATCTGGAGTTGCTCCCAACTCTGCTGGGACAAACGGGGCAACTGCCTTTATAAGGACGGCAGAACAGAGGCACCTTTAGGCTTCATGCCACGTGACAGCCTAAGCTTTTCTTTGTTCACATCAGGTCAGCTGTATCTTTATTGCTTTTCAGGACATTGCCCCAACAGGATGGTCTGGGTAGGATGTTATATGTGTTTCATTTCCAAAAGGTGCAGCATGTGACTTGGGCAAAATCTTTGAAGAAACAGTATCCAAGCAATCAACACAATTATTAGAATTGATGTTTCTGCATCATCTGATTTTTAGTCTGTTTGAAGAAACTCTTATTCTGTCTTTCCATTGTGTTTTCCGTGTGTGTGTGTGTGTGTGTGTGTGTGTGTGTGTGTGTGTGTGTGTGTGTAAAGTGATAATATCACCAAAAGTGAAGATGGACAATATCTCTGGCTATTCCTTTATTGCAAGCTTTACCATTCATGCTGTGTGTGTACCTATGTGCATGATATTTGGCTAAAGTTTTGATGCCATAGAGGTCATTTCTGTTGAACTTGGAGATGTGTGAGGACAACATGCACTTGAGCACAGGTGAATGACACAAGGTTGACCCTCAGCCTGCTCTGGCCCATAGAGATTGTCCAAGACTGTCTGGATCTGGCTCTAATCAGGGATGTCTTGGTGTCGTAGAACACAGATGACCTCAAGCTTTCTATTCTTATTTATATCTTTGGTGGTTATCTAAATAAAAGTGGCTATGAAAACAACCATGGAATTTCTAGAACAAAACAAGATGCATGCATATTTCTTTAATGAACCACAATGTTTCATGTCTCTAATACTTCTCCCATGCTCTTCCCCATTTCTAGCATGTTCCATAAGATTCAATTTGGGCCTATTTCTTCTAGGAAATATGTGTAATTACCATCAATGATCACAGAGTGGCCACAGTTATACTCTCAAGTAAGGTGTCCAGTTACCCCTGTCTGAGCCTCAATTGCACTTCATGTATCTTCTGTTTTTCAGTCAGTTTCTACACTGTTTTTTTTTTCAGATTTTTCTTCATGACTGAAGATTTTCTTGGTAATATTCCAATACACATTCCCCAGGCTTATATCTGTTTCTCTTTTTAGAATGCTTGTTGAAGAATTTCTTTACTCTCCTGTTAGGGTTTATAGTATTCTTCACCAGATCTGGTTTATTTTTTATTTTGAAATTTGTCAGCAAGTTAACATGTTGCGGACAAGCCTATTTTAGTTCCATGCCCCGGTCACTTTCTGTTCAGCATCTGATTACTCAGTTACATGTGCTAGTTTTTGGTTCAACCTTTTCATTGAAGATGTAGATTGGTCAGAGTCACCAGTGCCACTTACCATTGCAGATTTTGTGTACATGTCATGTTATTGCTCAGTGCCATGCAGGGCTGGTGATCATTTAAGGATAACTTGGTTGAATTAACAGGCCCTCAACTGGGGTGGACAACTGAATCCTATGCTGTATGTGTGGGCATCTGGCCTGGCCCTGACCCTAGAGGTGCAGGTAATATTGCACATGTTATCTCAATACAGTGGGGCTTGCTACAGGTAATGTTACCCCTGCAAGGTGACACTGCTGATTGTCTTTTCCCCCAGGCATGTTTACAGATGTATTCTGCAGGGGGCTATATCAGCAGCTGGCAATTCTTCTCTGGCTCTTTGGGAGACAGAATGGATCTAGCAGGGCTTTAGATGCTTGGGGATGGCAAAAGGCAGCTGTTCATGCCTAGCAGTTCCCACTCTCTTATTGGCATGACTGCCTCTGGTATTCCAGGCACAATTTGGGAAAAGAAACTGGAGAAGAGTGGTCCTGACTAAGAGGCTCATAGTTGACTCTCAGGTATGAAAGGAACATCAGAGAGAGAAGCAGAGACCAACCTGCTCACACTATGTGGGTGGCTCTGGAGCAGAAGTCCTGGTAGAAGTCAGGCTTATGCTTGTCTTTTTCACCTGGAAGGGAGCATACAATTCTTCCAAGCATGCCTCAGATCAGGCCCTGCCCCTAGCCTTCTCCAATGTCAGCAATGCATCAAAGAGTCTACTGTACCATGAAAAAATAAATATCAGCTAGGAACTCAACACATGCAACCAAAACAGAAGGTCCGGAAGAGCTGAGAGAGATGACTGTGTTCAGGAAGGGTGGGGTTACATCAAAGCCAGGACAGCAGGCAGCTCAGGACCTTTAGGTAAGTGGAAGCCCTCAAGTCACCCACCTGCCTTCTCTTGCATGTGTGAAACTTAACATGTCCCTCATAGAGTTCTTGGTTAACACATCCTGAAGCCTGCTCTTTCCTGTAGTAATTTACTAGTGCTGCCCTCACAAAGCAGCATAGACCAGGTGGTCTAGACAACAGAAATGTATTTTCTCAGGCTTCTGGAGGCTAGGAGTCTAAGATCCGTCCATCAACAGGTTTGCTGTATTCTGAGGGCTCTCTCCTTGGCTTTCAGAGGGTCAACTTCTCACTGAGTCCTCCCATGGTCTTTCCACTATGCACATGCCTCCTGTGTCTCAAAGTGTTTAAATGTCCTCTTCTTACAAGGACAGCAGTCGCACTGGATTATAGTCAACTGGGACAGCTTCATTTTAACTTAATCACTGCTTTCAAGGATCTGTCTTCAAATACAGTCACATTCTGAGATATGATATGTTAGGACTTCAACATATTTATTTGGAGGGGACACCATTCAGCCATACCACCTCCCAGTTTTTTCTCAATTAAAGATAGCTTTCAGCCCATATCCCTCACCCATCACCACCCCTTCCACAGGAGATGGGAGGTGGGTCTGCAGGGCTTGAAGTTTTTCCCCAGTCACTCTTCACTGGACTGAAGATGAGTATGGTCTGTTAGCAGAGCTTGGCCTCTGCTGGCTTCCTGGTCCCTTAGAACAGAATACCTGAAACTGGAATCAAGCTGAGACTTCAGGTCAAGATGGCAGAATAGGCGGTCCCCAGTGTCACTCTCTCCCACAAACCAACCGATTTACAACTATAAAAACATAATATCAAGTGCGTACGGATTGGGGAGACATCCAGTGGGGGAGGCGGAAGCTCTGCGAAGACCACATGTCCAGCAGGGCTGCCGCCACACGATCCAGCAGACAGGCTTCACTGCCACCACCTGGCTCCATTCCCAGCCCGGCCCAGTGTCCATGGAGCTGGGAGATGTCCAGCAGGGGAGGTGGGAGTGCCGTGGAAACTACAGTGCTGCCACATGATCCAGCAGCTCAGCCCAGTGTGTACAGTGCAGAGAGATGTCCAGGAGGGGAGGCGGAAGCTCTGTAGACACCACACAACCTATGGGGCCATCACCACGTGATCCAGCAGGAAGGAATCACTGCCACCACCTAGCTCCATCCTCAGACTGGCCCAGTGTGCATGGAGCACAGCGACGTCCAGCAGAGGAGATAGAAGCCTGGTAGAGACCACATGTCCTGTGGGGCTGCTGCTGCATGATCCGTCAGGTAGGCTTCACCACCACCATCAAGCTCCATCACAAGCCTGGCCCAGCATGCAAAGAGAAGGGAGACGTGAGCAGGGGAAGTGGAAGCTCCACAGAGAACACACACTCTGTGGTACTTACACACATCCCAGGAGCCTGGCCCAGTGTATGCGGAACAGGGCGATATCCAGCATGGGAGGTGGAACCTCAGCAGAGACAACACAGCCTGTGGTACTGCCCCATGACCCAGCAGCCCAGCTGAGTGCATGCTGACCAAAGAGGTGGCTCCCTGGAGAGGCCCAAGACCCAAGGCAACCACACACACAAGGCACTAGTGTCCAACTGAGCAGTCACTGAGGTAGCCATACCAAATTGGCAACCCCAGCAACATCTTAGTCAGACAATAGTGTCAAACCTGTGGACTGTAAAACCCCCTGCCACAATGAATAAACATCAAAGAAAAGATGCCAGAAACACGAAAAATCAAGAAAGGACACCACTAAAGGGTAATGACTCTCAAGCTTTAGATCCTATAGAACAAGAATCCCTTGAAATGTCTGACAAGGAATTTCGAGTGATAATTCTAAGGAAACTGTATGAGATACAAGAAAACTCAGCTAGACAATACGATGAAACAAGGAAAAGTATACAGGATCTGATAGAAGGAATGTATAAGAAAATCAATGCCCTGAAAAAGAATGTAGCAGAGCTTGCAGAACTGAAGAATTCATTCAACAAAATAAAAAACACAATGGAGAGTTTAACCAGCAGGCTTGTGGAAGTTGAAAAGAGAACCTCTGAACCTGAAGATGGGCTGTTTGAAATAACACAGGCAGAAAAAAGAGCAAGAAAAGAAAAGAAAAAAGAATCAAAGGCATTGAAGAAAATCTGAGAGAGATATCAGACAAGCGTAAGCACTCAAATATCCTAGTCATGGGTATTCCAGAAGGGGAGGGAAAAGGAGATTGCATTGAAAACATATTCAACAAAATAGTGGCAGAAAACCTCCGAGGTATAGGAAATATCACAGATCTTCAGATTCAGGAAGCTCAAAGATCCCCAAACATATTCAATCCAAAAAGGTCTTCTCTGAGACATGTTATAGTCAAATTGGCAAAAGTCAAAGACAAAGAGAGAATCTTAAAAGCTGCAAGAGAGAAGCATCAAATCACCTATAAGGGAGCCCCAATCAGACTAACATCAGACTTTTCATCACAAACCCTAAAAGCTAGAAAGGAATGGGATGATATATTCAAAATACTAAAAGACAGAGATTGCCAGCCAAGAATACTCTACCCTGCAAGGCTACCCTTCTGAAATGAAGGGCAAACAGTATATTTCTCAAACAAACAGAAAGTGTGGGAGTTTCCCACCACACCACCACCCTTACAAGAAATTCTCAAGGGAGTACTGGGTTTGGCTCCTGAAAAATACCTAACACTGCCATTAAAAACCCAAGAAAAATAAGAACCCACTAGTATAATAAAATGGCATTCATGAAGAGAAAACAAACAAATAAAAAGTCTATCTACAACCCAGGAAAGCAACAAATAC